CCGATCCCTTCGCGCTTGGATCGAACGCGTCCTGGAGCCTCGGACGAGTTGCTTCAAGGTTTGGCAAGTTGGTGCCACTGCTGCGTGAAATGTTGGTGTCGCTGCTGCTGCGTTCGATGCTGCCATGGCGGCTGCCGACCAGTTTGCGAGGAGCGCCTCTATTCGCTGGAGCGCCGCCCGCGTTTGGTCCATCTCCGTGTAAAGGGTTGTGAATTTTGTTACAAAATTGTCGCCTGCGCCCTCCATTTCTGACATCGCGCCCAAAAACCAAAATTGAGGGGGAGTGAAAAACACGGAACCGGTTTTACGTACCCGAAATTGGTGTTTATCGTTCGTTGCCCCCTATGTTTTTGAAGACTGTTTTTTAGTGATTGAAAAAACTTCGAGTGTAAACGGGCTTGAATAGAGTGTGAGGATCAATATAATCAAGTTTAGAAAAAAGAGGAAATGTATTGAATGAATCACTTGAGTACAATACGAGGTTATGTATAGTCTCGACACAAGGCCAGTAACCCAGGTGTTACGCGGATGTGATGAGGGCCGCAAGGCATCCCGAACATAACCTTCTCGAATTCGGTAGAAGGCAATTCGGTGGCAACCAAATGGCCTCGAATTTGGTACACGTAGCCTAGTTCGGTGCTATAACTCTGATAAAATATGGGAAAGCAGCTAACCTAGGAAATCAAGCATAAGCATGCATGATAAAATGAACCTAAGCTAGGAATAGCATGACAAAGGCAAGGCAAGCAAGCAAAGCTAGCAGAAGCCCTCGTACTCTCACAGCGGCCTGTTTCTGCGGAGCCAGGGGTTGTTCCTACGGAAGGTACTGGAGGCACCGGAGGTGTCGGTGGTGGAGGTGCTGGTTCAGGGGGTGCTGGAGCCGGAGGCACTGGCACTGCGGCGACTACACCGCGCACTGTACGTATCCTGACCCGTGAGCGGCGTCTTCTCCAGTTGGAGAGGGAGGAGCAGGGGCAGTTTGAGAGGGCACGGCAGCAGCAGCAATAGCAGCAGGAGGCGGAGAAGAAGCGTCTGCGCGACCTGCTTGACCCAGCACCTGCACACTTGGTCCGTGGTCTCCTACCGTCCCTTCCTATTCCCCCTGTTTTGTCCCTTTCCTCATCCTCGTGGACCCGTCGTTCTCCCCTCAGCCATACCGTGTAGACGGCCCGTTTCACCTTGTTCTCCGCTCTTGTGTCCACCTCCTCCGGTCCTTCCACGACCTCATGAGTCGTCCCTCACCATGTTTCACGACCCATTGTCCGAATACCTTTGTGCCTCATGTCCTGCTGTCTCCCCTGTTCTGTCCGCGTTGGCCACTCACCCCAGTGCCCCCTTGTGTCTATATTAGCCTTTGTTACCACTGTCACTGGCTTTGCCTCTTCCCACCGCCTTCACTAGTGAGTGGCCCTTGTTGTCACTGCCCTAGTGAGTGGCCCTGCTCTTTCTCAGTCCTCTTGGGGTGCTCCTGTCTTTCCCCAAGAGGTCCTTGAGGATATGCAGTTCTAGCTTGGTTTACTAGCGGCCGCTGTTCCTCATCTCTACGCCATGCTGCTTGCCCCGGAGGGGGATCCAGAGCCCTTAACATCCTGACCCCTCACACTCACGCTGTGGCGGTCTCGGCACATTGGGCCTCGTACTGGATAACAGCTGAGAAGGCAGAGATGGCATCTTTTAGGTCCAGAGACACCTATGTCGGCGCCGTCCCACCACCTGGGACGAACGTCGTCAGTGGCATATGGCTCTACAAGGTGAAGCGGCCGCCTAGAGCACCACCTGCGTTCAAGGTGCGCTACGTGGCGAGACGCTTCAGTCAGCGAGAGGGGGTAGACTTCTTCCAGACCTTCGCTCCCACCCCGAAGATGACCACTCTTCGGGTGTTGCTGCATATTGCAGCTCAGCGCGACTACGAGTTACACTCACTGGAATTCTCCAAAGCGTTCCTTCAGAGGAGCCTGCACGAGCAGATCTGGATGCGTCACCCACCTGGCTTCACTGGCTCTTTCCCTCCTGGGACCCAGTGGCAGCTGCGTCGACCAGTCTACGGCCTGCGTCAAGCACCCTGCCAGTGGCATGATACACTACATACAACTCTTGCAGCATTTGACTTCTTTCCATCGTCTCCCGACCCGTCACTATTCGTACGCCATACTTCGACCCGGTCTTCATTTTGGTTTACGTCGATGACTTGGTCTGCGCCACTCTCAATCGACGCGCACTGCAGGGGAGACACACTTGCACTGACCTTGGTGAGCTGCAGCGCTACCTTGGCCTGCAGATCACCAGGGATAGGGCAGCTCGCACCATTATGCTGACGCAGTTGCATATGGTCGAGCAGATCCTCACGCGGTTTCGCTTCCCGTTCTCCAAGGTACAGCTCACCCCTCTTGCTGTGGATCATGGGCTCACGGCTCCACCTTCATACGAGTCATTTGAGCCCAGTGGTCCATATCCTGACTTGATGGGTTGTCTCATGTACCTGATGACCTGTAATCACCCAGACATAGCTTACCCTCTTAGCATCTGAGAGGGTGGGAGACACCGACCTTTTTATTGGTTGGCTGCTGAGAGGGTGGCGAAGTATGTGGCGAGTACATCAGGCATGGAACTGCAGCCATTTGCACTCACAGATTTCTTTGACTCGTCATAGGTCAACGACGCTGAGACGAGGCGGTCTACACAGAGGTACTGCTTCAGCCTTGGGACTGGAGCTATTTCATGGAGGTTGACTCAGGCATCATCCGTCTCTAGTACCAGCTGTGAGGCAGAGGTGTACGCTACAGCCATGGCCGCCCAGGAGCTTCACTGGCTGTCTTTCCTCCTCACCGACCTTGGTGAGCGGCCTCGCTCTCCCCCAGTCTTGTTCACAGACAACAGGTTAGTTATTCTGTTGTGCGAGGAGCCCCGACTGGTTGGGAAGGCGAAGCACATCCAGCTTCGTTACTTCCTTACGCAAAATTTGCAGCAGCGTGGCCAGGCACTCGTGCGATGTGTGGTCTCTGAGACCAACACTGCACATATCTTCACCAAGGCGTCGCGGTTCAGGCTTCTCGACCGGGACCTCCACCGCGTCGATGTCGGTGGAATCCTTCCCCGCCAACAACTCCCCTTCATTATCGCCGCCTATCTCGACTGGCTGCTGCACCAATGTTGGCATCTTTGCCGACTTCTCCCTTATCGTCGTCTCTCCTGCCAACTTCTCCTTTGCCGGCAGCTCCTCTGCCGGCTTCACTGCCTCCTGCTCTCCTATCGTCGGCTCCCCTGAAGTCGGTGGCATCTCTCCAACGCCAACTTGCTTAACATCACGCCGGCTGCCAGCGATGCCACTCGTTGGCACCACAGGCGACGCCCCAAGGGGGATTCCTAATCGCTGCTGGCCGATGCTAACATCTGCTTATGCAAGTTGGCGATGAGGGGTGGGACAGCGGAAATAGGGGGAGGAGGAGGTGGGTGGACGTCCTTGTCATCCTTGTCATCCTTGTCATCAGGCTCGCCGACGTCGGCAAGCTACAGGAATGTCGCTGTGGAGGAGTCCGTCGGCAGGTTGACTTGTGTCCGCCCTAGACGTCGGCCCATACTCCGTTTTCCACACCTCAAGTGACATCGTCTCGTAGAAGATCACCTCCACTGTGATAACGATATTGTTGTCGGAGAGGTCTAGGACCTAAAAACCCATGCTCTCATGCGACACACAGAGGTGAAGTCCCTACCGTGTCTTTCCCGCCGCGTAGCTGCTCGGGGACCATGAACCGCACCATGCAGCTCCACACAAATGCTAGGGTGAGGTTGGACTTCCTATTGGTGAGCAGCTGGTGCGATGTCATCTTCAGCGGCAACGGCGACCGCTCAAGGCAGTTGCGCACCCATACGGCCTGCCGTAGGGCGAGGTGCCACCAGTGTGTTATGTGATGCTATCATTTGCATTCACGTCTGTCTGCCTCCCATCATATGTTCGTGTGTTGCATGCGTTGTGTGAGCGTGTGCAAGAATTTGTGTTTGGTGTGGTTTGGATTTTCTGAGTGTTTGTGAATGTTATTTGGCCTGATCAGATGTTTGAAGTGACTGCTCTGCTCAAGAGCTTTCCGACGAACCAAGAATCGTCGCGATCGGAGCACGAACGAGAAAGTTGCGAACATTTGAAGTTCGTATGCTTTTGATATTTGGTTGTGGCGACTATGGGAATTTGTGGAGTGACTCTATATGGGGTATAGACTTTTGGGGGTTGGGAAAATTCGTCACTCTACTGTAGTTGATGCCAAATGGTTGGGAGAAGCCAAACCAGGTTGGCAAGTGTGGCCAAGTTGGGTGAGGTGGATGGCATGGGTTGGGAAAGTGACAAATGTCAAAGTTGGGGTGCCTATAGAGAGGGGAATTGTGTGGCATGGGGTTTCCTTGGTTGGGGACTCCTTGGGGACCTTCCCTCTCGTCCTCCTCTTCCCTCCCACCTGGTTTGTAGATACTCTAATTCTCTTTGTGAAACTTGTGAGAAAAAAATGTTATTGAGTTAAGTTTTATGTGGCAGCTTACCCCCTAGTGCGCCGAAATCAATAACTCGAGTTATACTCCATCTTTTGATACGATTCAAATTGGGAAAGATAGCCCCGGTTGAGAATTCCAATGGCTAGTTTTTTGTCGACGGCGTTTCTTGTGAAGTCGACATTTCTGTCCAGAGATTAGGTCCAACGATTTTGAGATATTTCGGCCCCTAAACGTTCTAGACTCCGTCCTTTATCTCTAATTAGTGGTATCAGAGCTGATTGAGGACGTTGTGAAGAGTCTACTGAGGTGTGAAGACCCTCCTAGACCCACCATGGCCTGTGGGCGTGCCTAAGTGGTGTTCTAGAGGTTGCATGTGACTTCCGCTAAGGGGAAACTCTGCCGAAATTTCGTTGGCACCGACACTTGTGAAAAAAAAATGTTGTGGGACTTCGGTGTGGACAGCAAAAGGGGGAGCTGAAACCTGTGATTGGGAGCAGAGGAGATGAGTCAAGGGAGTGGAGATGCAGCTGAGAAGAGGAGTGAGCCACCACCATCCAAGATTGAGGCGTTGGATGGCTCCAACTACGAGGAATGGAGCGGGCGGATGCGGAGCGTCCTACAAGCTGCTGAAACTTGCGATGGGAGAGGAGAAGATACCCGAGGAAGGAGATGCTCGGGATCGGTGGATTGAGCGGAGCGCGGTGCTGTACGACCTGATTCTACAGTCCGTCAACAACGACATGTTCCAGCACATCAAGGACTTGGTCGAGTTGGATGACTCCAGGCCGAAGGCGTGGAAGCTGCTACGTGACGTGATTCAACCCAACACGCTGCCCATGGTGATCGTGCTCGAGAAGGAGCTGGCGGCCATCTCCATGCGATCGGGAGATGATGTGAAGCCGGTCTTGGACAATTTCAAGGACACCTATGCGAGGATGGCAGCAGCGGGCAGCAAGGTGTCGGAGATGCAGCAGTGCACCAAGATCATCTCGGTGCTCGACAACTCGTGGGAGAACCTCATCCCCACCCTCAACGTTCAGCAGGACAAGTGGACGCCTGAGTGGCTACGGCAGCAGATCCTGCAGGAGGACTTCCGCAGGTGCCACACGGGAGGTGGTGCTGCCAACAAAACTGCTGAGGGGTATGGAGCTGCAGGAGGAAGCAGAGGAAGAGGGGGAGGGAGAGGCCGAGGCCGTGGGAGAGGCTTTGGCAGAGGAAGAGGCCGAGGTGACTACAACGAAGGGCATGGGAGCTCTGGTGGCAGGGGGAGCACCCGAATGGAGGGTGCGTGCTGGTACTGCAAGAAGGCTGGACACCCGTGGTTCAAGTGTTTCAGCCGGCCTGAGGGATGGGCACCCCCAGGCATGAAGCCGCCGAGTGGTGAACGCGCACGAGGTGGCGCTGTGCAAGGTTCAGGTGCACAAGGTTCAGGTGCACAAGGTAAAGCCTCCCTCTGGGATGTTCCTTATGGCTGAGGATGTGAATGGGAGTGGGGGTGATGTAGGTTCCATTGGGAAGGTTGTGATGCACCCCCTCACTCACTGGGTGATAGATTCAGGTTGCACAAGCCACATGACCCCACGGGCAGATTTGCTTGATGAGGTAAAGCCCCCTAGGAAGATCAAGTTTTTGGCTGCCGCTTCAGGTGCTTTGCTCCCTGTGATTGGTGTTGGGAATGCCAAGGTTATGGGAGCCAATGGGGAGCTTGTGGGGCTTGGGAATGTGTTGTTATTTGAAGGTTTGTCCGCTAACCTCCTCTCTGTACGCTGGCTGCAGAAAAGCAAGGCCAAAGTTACGTTCGGCCCAACCAGCTGCCGTGCAAAGCTTGGGAAGTTGCTGCTGTGGGATTTGGAGGAGAAGAGCAGCTGCATCAAGGACCTGTGGCAGCTGCCCATCATCCCTTGGAATGGGAAACCACCAGCAACGGCAACGGCAGCGGCAGCGGCTAAAGCAACTGCGGGAGGAGAGGAGACTGCACCAACTGCTGGGGCCCTGGATGCAGTCAAGAAGGTGCAGCAGCCACAGCAATCACATGGTGAGGTGCTTGCTGGTGTGGATGCTAGAGCTGCATGGGCAAAGGCTTCATCTGGGAGTGGTGAGGCCGATTGGGAGACGTGGCACGAGAGATTGTGCCACATCAACATACCGATGCTGCAGAAGTTGGTGAAGGATGGGAGCCTGAAAGGATTGGAGGTGACGGGGGCAGCGAAGGAGATTGGGAGCTGCCCTACATGTCTTGAGACCAAGTTCACCAAGTTTCCCTTCAGCAGCAGCACAGGACCAGCCAAGGCTCCACTTGCGCTTGTGCACATGGATGTGGTGGGCCCCACGAGGGCCACTTCGCTCTCGGGCAGCCGCTACTTCTTGACCATTGTGGACGACCACACGTGTGGGTGTACCCTCTCAAGTCTAAGGGGGAGGTGGCAGCGGCTGTTTTGAAGGAGTGGATGCCGAGAGCACAAAGGGAGAGCGGACATAATGTGAAGGTGATCCGCACCGAGAATGGGGGAGAGTTCATTGGCGCTGATTTTGAGGCGGTGCTGAAGAAGAAAGGGATCCAGCATCAGCTTACAGTGCCCTACAACCCTCAGCAGAACGGCGTGGCTGAGCGGTTCAACCGGACCCTGCAGGAAGGTGCTCGCACTCTCCTTGGGCGCGCAGGGCTGCCGGATCCGTTTTGGGTGACTGCACTGAGGCAGGTCGCTCTTGTGAAGAACAGGGTGCTGGCGACTATGGGGGACAAGCAGTGGGTCCCCTACACCAAGTGGTATGGGAGTGCACCAGCAGTCAACATGCTGAGAGCCTACGGCTGCATGGTGGTGTTTCATGTGCCAAAGGAGAAGAGGGGAAAGCTGGAAGCTTCTGGGAGATGGGGTGTGCACTTGGGGCTTGCTAAGGATCATAAGGGCTGGTTGCTATGGGACTTGACCAGCCAGCAGCTGACTGTGTCAAGGGATGTGAAGTTCCTTGAGTCCTTGTACTACAAGGAGTGGAAGCAGCAGCAGCAGAAGCTTCCTACGACACCGCTGATCGTTGAGGCCGATGAGGTGCAGCGGCCTTCGAGGCAAGTGCAGGTCACTGTCTCAGAGGAGGAGATCTCTGGGGTGACTGAGGATGGGGGAGAACCTGAGGTGGAGGAGCAGCAGCAGCAGCAGCAGCAGCAGCCGCAGCAGCAGCAGCAGCAGCAGCAGCAGCAAGGTGCTCCACAAGGTGCCGCACGTCCGGCTGACCGTCCTAGGAGGGATGTGCGCCCTCCTAACAGGCTGACATATCACAGTTTTGGCACGCCAAAAGTGGTACCGGCTGGGAGTGTGGCTGAGCAGTGTGATGAGGATGAGATAGCTTACTGCTGTTGGGGCTATATTCAGAGGCTTTCGAGGATAGTACTGTGAGAGAGTGGTTAAAGAGGGGTGCTGCAGATTTGAGGAAAACTGGAGATGTTGGAAGTGGAATGTTGGAAGGAGATGACTATCCATTGGAATGAGCGTTGGATATGCATAAAGCTTGCTGGAAGGAGTGTGCATTGAGGGTGCATGCTTGAGCTATGGCATGTGGGATGATGGTTGGCAGCCAGAGGGGGAGTTTGTTATGTGATGCTATCATTTGCATTCACGTCTGTCTGCCTCCCATAATATGTTCGTGTGTTGCATGCGTTGTGTGAGCGTGTGCAAGAATTTGTGTTTGGTGTGGTTTGGATTTTCTGAGTGTGTGTGAATGTTATTTGGCCTGAGCAGATGTTTGAAGTGACTGCTCTGCTCAAGAGCTTTCCGACGAACCAAGAATCGTCGCGATCGGAGCACGAACGAGAAAGTTGCGAACATTTGAAGTTCGTATGCTTTTGATATTTGGTTGTGGCGACTATGGGAATTTGTGGAGTGACTCTAAATGGGGTATAGACTTTTGGGGGTTGGGAAAATTCGTCACTCTACTGTAGTTGATGCCAAATGGTTGGGAGAAGCCAAACCAGGTTGGCAAGTGTGGCCAAGTTGGGTGAGGTTGGGAAAGTGACAAATGTCAAAGTTGGGGTGCCTATAGAGAGGGGAATTGTGTGGCATGGGGTTTCCTTGGTTGGGGACTCCTTGGGGACCTTCCCTCTCGTCCTCCTCTTCCCTCCTCAAGCAAAACTCCCGCCACTGAGACGAGCAGCATTGCATCGACGTCGTCCTGCAGCTTCACGCCGCTATTTTCAGTTGTTCGGTCGACAACAAGTTCACCAGCAGGCCTGAGACATAGAGCACATCGGGGACGAGGAACTGGTTCCCGGTCTCCCCTTGCAAAGCGACGGGCCTGCAGTGCCCCGTTGAAGCCGCGCACGTGTTTCACGTCCCCGCTCGGCTCCATGTTGACGAAGGCCTCCTTCATCCCCATCAGGTGGTGGGAGCAGCCGTTTTCGAGCAGCACTGCCATCAGGTTTGCCTGCACAGCGGCGACGACCGCCTTGCAGCTTCTCGGCTCCACGACACCAACTATCTAGCACGAGGCCTCCTCATTGCCTCATCCCTTGCTGCCGGAGGAGTCGACACCCTTCGCCGATGTTGTCTTCTTCAACGCCTCCTTCTCTTTGCTTGGCTTGCACTCCCAACGCTGACGACTGCCGACTAATCGTCCACGACCTCCTTTGTGGTCGTTGTCGTCGGACTCCTTGCGGTCGGGGCAGTCGTGGAAGAGGTGGTCGGGGTCGCCAATCACGCTGTCCACCACCGCCGCCACGATCACTACCCCGAGCCAACTTCGTTCGGTCGGCGTCCTTCGCCGACTTCCCACCTGCACTACCTCCTCCACTCGACTTCCCATGCTGCCCCTGCTGACAACCCTGCTTTGTCGGAGCGGCGTAGTTCGCCTTTGGAAGGAGCTCCATGGGCCTCTTGGCCTCCTGCATGGCTCTTTTCTTGATGATATGCGAGGTCAGTGCATCCTCGTTGAGCGACGCATACATGCCGGGCATCACCAGCATTCGGCGCATCAACTTGTAGCGGCTCGGGAGTCAACGACGTGCGTGATGTACGACGCCGTCGAGTAGTCGACGTCGGCCATTCGCATGTCGGCCAAGATTTGTCGAGCACGGTTGCAATAATCCGTCGCTGATTTCAGCTTGCCCATTCTAAGGTGAGTTAGCCGCTCTTCCAGATGGCCGATGTAAAGGTCGTCAATCGCCTGGTAAGTCGACAGGATGAACCACCTAGCTTGGTGGCCAGCGTCCACTCGAAGTCGGCATGGCTTCTTGGTGATATCCACTATTGGCGAGCAGCACAGTGAAATGACCATGAAGGTCAGCAGGTGAGCGGTGTGAAATTCCACCCGAAGCTTGACTCTGGCCTCGCCCGGCGTCTCCACGTCGCCGTGGGCGAAGCACTTCAGCCCGAAAATATCCAGCTGGGGCTCGATTGACTCTCTTCATGTGATGGGGTCACGCCAACCTTCAAGCAGCACGGGCATGGTGATCTTCTCCAACAAAAACTTGAAGTTCTTGTAAGCCGGTGCAATCAAGCAGCCGTCACGTGGATTGCCAACGTCGGCTGCACACTGCTTCGCCGAGGAGAGTGACGGCCTACCGCAGCTGCCACCCGTCGTCCACCCAGTGTCTCGTCACCACAATCCACGCTTTGTCGTTGGGCGTCGTCCACATGTCCATGCTGTAGGATACCTTGCACCTTAGCTCCCCTGCCTTCGCCCTCAGCTCCGCAATCGTCGCCTCTAGGGCGGCCTCGGCGAACACTAACGTGTCGCGTGCAACAGTCCAGCGTGAGGGGAGGAAGTTCTCCCCCCTGCACTGAACGCTGCATAGCATCGGGAGCTCACAGAACTGGAGGGGAAGGGATACATACAGTGGGTGAAGATGGCAGATCTGAGTTTGCATTTACAGCAGTAAAGCCACCTAAACCCTCAAGCCAAGAGAGTAAGGGTGGTAATGAACAACAAATGCATGGTTCCGGGGTGGCACTCACAGCGTCAGCGTCGGCAATGCGGAATGGAAGGTCTCGGGTGACCGCCAGATTGGTGATCGCTTGCCGAAGCTCGTGGCGAGTGAGCTTCGTCGTCCTCTAGCGTTCTACTACCTTCTCTTTCTCCTTAGGGACCTTCGGCCTTATGGCGACGTGAGGCCAATTTTCGACGTAGCCATTTGGCACCCCCCTGTAGCCCCCCTCAGGAAATGTCTTCCCCTTCACAAAATAAGGCCGGTGGCATACCTAAGTTGGAATAAACGCGCTTCGCGTTTAGTACGCTAGTGTCTAAATGCTGGCGTCAAAACGCAGTACGCTGGCTGGGGGGGGTGGGGGGTATGGTACGCATCGGAATTCGCTTCTCTGGGCAGCTAATTTTATCCCAGGCAGGTTAAGAGATGAAGACAGGAGCTGCTGTAGTAGTGGAGGTCATCGTCGAAGGTCAGATAAGGAGGGAAGAAAACGAGGAGTATCGAAGGAGAATATGACCCGACCTTCAAGTGTCTACGACAAAATGGAAGGGATTGGTGATTGATGGGGATGGGGTGGGTTGTTGAGCGGTGAATGGGAGGGGGTGATCCACAAACAATTTCGAAATTCAGATCTGAGGTTGCATTCGCAATATGGGAACTCAGATCTGAATTTTGAGACTCAAATTTTGCGTTCGCCAGATTGCGAACTTGACTCTTTTTTCTTCCAGACAGACCGGACAAATTTCCTGCGTATCTCACATTATACGCAACGTACGAATTCCGCATGCGTAATCCCAATACGCAATTTCAAATCTGCGTTTCTTCCAACTTAGATCTGTACTTCCACCTGCGCGTGACTCGTCAACCCGCTCAGGATCGGCCACTCCCTCACCAACCATCCCCCCCCCAGCCCTCCCCCACCGCTAGGTGCATGGTCTCTGAGTCGTAGCTTTGCTGCTCTCTTCCCCCTTCTCTTCCCAACCCCGCCCTCGACTCGTGACCCCCCGGTGCTGTGAGGCCTCCTCCCACTGGCCCTCGCCCACCCCCTCCTCCCCCTCGGGCTCCAAGCCTTCCATTTCATGGTCTTCATTTCCCCTATCCTCCCCACCACCACCAACATCACCATGATTATCGGGTCGCTACTCCGGTTCACAGTCATCCCCGCTCCCGTCCTCTTGCTCATCGCCCCCCTCATCCTCCTCATCCTCCTCATCCTCCTCATCCTCCTCCTCATCCTCCTCCTCATCCTCCTCCTCGCTATTACTGTTCACAGTGGTGTTAGCCGTGCCCCCTCCTGCAGGGGGCCTTGGTTTAGTGTACTGGAACGTGTGTCAGGATGACGGTGATGCCATGGACAGAAAACTACCTACGAAACAAGTGGCGGGTGAGGCTGGCCCGTCCCCTACACCACCCTGCAGGGGTCTTGCCGGAGTCGAGGGCACACCGCCACGACCTCCCACCACCCCCCCTGTTGCTGGTGGTTGCGACTCCATACGCTAACATGCCAAACCCTAACCCGACCTAAACTAACCCTAATCCGCAATTCATACTGTGAACGCTGGTGAATTGAGCCTTGTGCCGTAAATCTGCCCTTATTCTTGGTTTGGTCTATGATTTCGGCAAGGTAAGGAAGAACACGATGGTGTTGGTGGGTGTCAAGGCGGTTCTACAGTAGACAGCCCATTGGAGCGTTGGGTCCATCCTTAGTGACAGGCTAAAAACGAGAAACTGAAATAAAATGTGATAAATTAAAGAGAACCTTAGATCTGCTGGTGGGAGTAAAGGCCGTGGTCGACTAAGTTGGCTTTGCCAGCCGCGACGAACCGAACACGAACGTGTTCGACCTGACCCGAACACATTCGGCCAAAAAAAAGATACATGTTCGGTTCGACTCGAACATGTTCGCCATGGTGCTCAAGCCTACCTGGTCATGCCTACTTGCAAGTACAACCCCCCCGTTTCATTGCCTCGGATTCGTTTTATTATTCACATACGCCTTCTAATTGGTATCGCATCGTGCTTGTCGGCCATGCCCTTGTGTGCCTTAGGTTCGCTTCATGCATGGCCAGATCCCAAAAGACGTCACGACAGTCTCAGAGTGAGCCTACCCCCTCTTTAGGACAAACTCTTTTCATCAAGTGCACATGAACTGAATTTCATTCACGGGGCTATTAGCACCATACTTGATTGTGCTCTGGAAGTAGTTGCTTAGGATGGGAGAGTATCGTTGTTGCGTTCATGCCACTCCACATTGTCTAACTTGATTGCTGTGTGGACCATCCTTTTGTGCCAGTGTTGTCTGCGAAGACCTTTCAAATGGCAAGGAGAGGCTGCCTATTCCCGTCACCAACTGCGTCGACCCACCCACGATGCCACCCGGTAGGTGAAATCAAGGTACAAACGTTCCGCAATGTGGTTTGCCACAACTTGAACAAAGTATTGTATGCACGTTAATCTGGATGCTCACCTGTTTGAGGCTCAAGGTGGACAGACGAAAAATAGCTACGTTATAAATAACTTTGGTGCAAGTTTGGTGCGATTGTCTGACAAAAAACATGGACACGCTGATGCCATGGTCTTGTTATCCCTTCCATATATGGAATCAGTAAGTATGTCAACTCCATGGGTGTAGATATGATTATGTGGCAACATCGTTGTCCAAACACCAAGTGTGTGTGTGCATGTATGTCTCTTAAGTCACTGTTTGTTTCATACCCCTGTTTTCCATCTCGAGACAGACGAGAGGGAGGAGCAGGACGAGGCAAGTGAGGAGGGGTGGGGGGTGGTTTTGCGTGCGATGGTTCTGTTGCCTGTGCGATGGTTCTGTTGCCTGTGCGATGGTTCTGTTGCCTTGGCGATGGTTCTGTTGCCTGTGCGATGGTTCTGTTGCCTGTGCGATGGTTCTGTTGCCTGTGCGATGGTTCTGTTGCCTGTGTGATGGTTCTGTTGCCTTGGCGATGGTTCTGTTGCCTGTGCGATGGTTCTGTTGCCTGTGCGATGGTTCTGTTGCCTGTGCGATGGTTCTGTTGCCTGTGTGATGGTTCTGTTGCCTTGGTGATGGTTCTGTTGCCTGTGCGATGGTTCTGTTGCCTGTGCGATGGTTCTGTTGCCTGTGTGGGTGTGGCTTCTTGTAAACATGAGTGAGAACCGAACTCAAACTGGTTCAGCTTACACATTCTCAAACCAATCAGGTAGTCAAACTGTACTAGTTCGGTTCGACTCAAATTGAAGTCGGGGTAGAAGTGGTTCGTTATTTGCCATATGTGCGGGGACCAGGAAGGTCCCCCTGCCATCGGAGAGCAGAAGGGTCCTCCCTTGGGCAAGCAGCCGCAGCCCTCCCCTGCAGGCGGAAATGGTGTGCCATCGAGCGGATCACAGAAGGCTCTGGGCGGAAAGAGCGGGTGTGAAAAGCGGGGTAGGAATGGGAAGGGAGGGAACGGAGGAAAAAGGGGCGCACCCTCTGGTGGCAAGGGAGGGAAGGGTGGCAAGGGAGGGAAGGGTGGCAAGGGAGGGAAGGGAGGAAAAGGAGGCGCCCCCTCTGATTTACCCTCTGGTCCTTCCGCGTCAGGTTGAACTGTTTACATCTCATTTCTGTTCACATGGCGTCCTCCCATGCTGGTATGTTAACCCCACCCCTGCAGCGTTTGAGTATGTGACGGAGCGCATCATGCCTGAGGGACTCGAGCTCGAGCAGCAAGGAGGGGCGCACAAGTGCGCGTGCAAGGGGCCGTGCACGAGTGAGAGCAAGTGCGCATGTGCCAAGAGGAACCGCGACGGCTTTCCCTATGTGAAAGGAGGAAGGTACGATGCTCTTCAGACTTACCTGTGCTCATCTCTTTCCCTTGGCAGTGCCGCTTCATCACAGCTCTAAGTCTGCCGCAAAAGGATTCCAAGAAGGAATGCAGAATAATTGGACACCCATTTGGGTGATTCTTGAGACAGGCAATGGCAAATCTGGTTGTATAGACATCTGGAGACGTCTGCATGCGAACATGTGAATCTGCTTCCTGAACAAAAAGGGGCTAAATTGTGGGACTTCTTGGAAGCTGCGTGGAAAGAGCTTTTTTGGAACCTAAAATGATCTGAAGTAGATAAAGAAAACTTCCACAAATTCTACTTAATCACGTGTGAATCCTTGAATGAAACACAGGCTTGTCAAGGCGCGCGGCGTTGTGATGGAGTGTGGTCCCTTGTGTGGCTGCGGCCCAGCCTGCACCAACCGGGTCGGCCAACAGCGCCTCCGCTTCCGCCTTGAGGTAATTTTGCTTACAGTGAAAGGTTGCTCCTGGTTGCTCCTGGTTGCTCCTGGTTCTTCTTTATTGGTCACATATGGTTCTTCTTTATTGGTCTCATATGGTAATTCGCACAAATAGCGGCCGCCGGACACATCTGAATAGTCTTTTGCAAAACCTTTGTTGCCCATGCATGTGCCCACACAGGTGTACAAGACGCCGCACAAGGGGTGGGCGGTGCGGTCGTGGGACTCCATCCCGGCGGGGGCGGTGGTGTGCGAGTACGTGGGTGACGTGCTGCCGTACGAGCGTGTGGACCACGTGGAGGACGACATGTATGTCATCAGCATCGACACCGTTCGCACCGCCAAGCTCGGCACGCAGGGCAGAGATGTATGTACCATCAACGCCGTGAGCCAGTTGATGAGGGCGATGTAGTGCGGCATTCCAGTATGCGGTATGCAAGGCCATGGTTACCTCTCATTGGGATATTTGCTGTTGGTCCTCCCTCCTCCTCTCCTCTATCAGCGCACCTTGTCCCTCCTCCTCCCTCTAGCAACAACGCACTTGATGTCATGACTCCACTTTTGAGCATCTAGGAGACAGATGGTCGTTCACGTGAGCAACTTCATGACCCAGTTCCAGCGTTTAAGGGATGTCAGGTTCACCCATAGTTTGTCACCCATAGCCAATAGACTCCTTTCAATATGTGTGCTTAGGAGAGGGCATTGAGTCTGGGTCCATGGATAAATGCTTTGCCCGCTTTTCTTTAGGGTGAACTCTAGGAATCAACCCACGCAATGTTTTCCTTCTGTTCAAGGTCTCACCTCTCAAGCAAGCTCCAACGAAATGGCATAGTAAGGTGAAGGTCAATATCTTGCTCCAAAAATTGCATTGTCATGGTGTCTGTTGCGATCTTCTTCGTGCTGCAATTCCCAGCAAGACTTTGCGAAGATGTTGGTTGTCGGGTCAAATTGCTGGAAATATCTGGATCTCGTCGATTTGCTCCTCGGACAACGCGCAGCTTGTCGACGTCGGAAGGCTCTCCAAGTCGACCTTGTTTCATGTAGATGGAGAGCGCACGTATCCACGCCTCATTATATTGCGTTTGTCGACATTGGCTCCGGTTCACTCCACGTGGTCACTGTGCACCAGCCCAACAGCAAAGTACAGCGCATGCGTCTGTCGTCCAGTCGATCCTACTTGTCGCAAATTCACTCTATCTAACATTTTGCATGCACAAATGCGTTTGCGATTTCAAATTGTATTCATGTGTTTGTTTGCGTGATAGATATCCCTCGTTTGTTTTCTCGTTGGTCAGGTTTCATGGTGTGCTTTCTTATAGCTTTGTTGTGTTTTCTGTTCTCTTTATTCTCCCCCTTGCTGCAGCCCATGTTTGGAGATTGGGTGGGGAGAGGGATAGGAGGACTTGGAGCATGCACTGGAGGAGCAGGCCAAGGCCAAGCCGAGTGCCACAAGCCATCGTGCAGCGGGAAAGGCGAGCAAGGAGGGGAGGGAGAGCGAGGAGGGCAGGGAGCACGAGGAGGTGCACTACGCCATCGACGGGCTGCGGCGTGGCAACGTGGCGTGCTTCATCAACCACAGCTGCTCGCCCAACCTCTTCTACCAGTCCGCTCTCTGGGACCACAAGCGCCCTGAGCTCTCCCACCTCCTCCTCGTCGCCTCTGAGAACATCCCCCCGCTAACAGTAAGTAATGTCAGCTCCATCTCTCTTTTCCTTCCTTCAACCTCCTTCCTCTTGTTGTCCACACAAGTCCCGTTGTTTTTGTTTTCACACCCTCCTGGCTCTGCTTTTAGTCTGATTATTTGTACGCCCTGTTAAAGTCCATCTGTCCTCTCTCCACTCTCTCCCTGCTCGAGTCCCTCTGTTGTTCTCACCACTCCCTCCGTGCCCAAGTCCCTCTGCTCCTCTCTCCACTCTCTCCCTTGTCCATTTGCTGCTCTCAACACCCCGTCCCTGCCCAAGTTCATCTGGCTCTCTCCCCATACCACTCGCTTACAGAGTAGATAAAACAAAACAGCCTGGCAATTGTGGCTTGGAAATCATGTCTTCGTGATAAGCAGACTTGCCCAAACTTTGGTATCTTGAATGGTATCTCGCTTTGTTCACCCTGATTGCAAAGGGTGTCTCAAAACCAAAGTTGGGCCTTATTGACTTGGTTCCAAAGCTTTGAGCTTGCCATGTAATACTATGATCTGTTGGCCTTTTTTGTCTCTCTCTGCATTGCCATGTTGTGCAGGAATTGACGTACGACTACAACTACGAGGTTGGCAGCGTGATGGATGAGCATGGTGAAGTGAAGCAATTGAACTGTTGCTGTGGCGCTGTTGACTGCCGGGGTCGTTTGTATTGAGGCACGCTGTTTACTGCTGAATTTCTTTTTGGAGCTCGACATGTTGTGAAGTTCTGCTGACGCGTACACTAATTATTTGTTCTAATTAAGGAATGTCAAATGTTGTAGCTTGTAGTGAGGCTTGTCATGTGGGGTACATTTGTTAGGGTTAGGCATATGTACCCCAACTCGCAGTAATACGACCATCATTCAGTTTCTGACATGGTATCACCTAGGTTAGGATCCTGTTGGATCGCGGTCCTCTCTCTTAAGCCTACCACGCCTGTAGTGCCCTACCGTGGGGCCCGTCCCGTCCCCTAGCGCCCGTCCCGTCCCCTCGCGCTCGTCGCGCCTACCCGTTCTATCCCGTCCCCTCGCGGTCGTCGCGCCTGCCCGTCCCGTCGCGTCGTGCCCGTCCCATCCCCTAGCGCCCATCGTGCCTGTCCCGTCCCGTCCCCTCCCTCGCCTGTCCCGTCTCGCCTGCCCGTCCCGTCGCGTCGCGTTTGTCCCGTTCCGTCCCCTTGCGCCCGCCACGCCTGCCCGTCCCGTCATGTCGCGCCCGCTCCATCCCGTCCCCTTGCGCCCGCCACGCCTGCCCGTCTCGTCGCGTGGCGCCCGTCCCGTCCCATCCCCTCGCGCATGCCGCGTCTGCCCGTCCCGTCGCGTCGCGCCCGTCCCGTCCCGTCCCCTCGCCTGTCCCGTCGCGCCTACCCGCCCGTCACGTCGCGCCCTGCTCGTCCCGCCTTGACGCGCCCTGCCCATCCCGTCGTACCTACCCTGCTATCCCATCGCGCCCTGCACGTCCCGTAGGGCCCTGCGCCTTACGCTCTGCCTGTCACGCCCTACTCAGGCCCTCTAAGCGTTTAGGGTTTCGGTAGCCGCAGCTCCCACCTCTTCGCTTCCGCTATGACGACCCCTAGGGTCCTGCACTTTGATGCTGAGGGTCGGCCGCTCGAGTTCTTTGTCTGGCTCCTTCGTGCGCAGCGTCTGCTAGAGAGTCAATGTCAGGCGGACGAGTCCCTCTGGGCATACGCCTCCGGTGACCTTCCTGCGCCGGCTGCCCCTGAACCCCAAGGTGCTGACCCCGCCACTGAGGATAGGGGGCGTTTTGCACGTCAACGCGCTGCTCAGACAGTTTGGGTCGCGGGACGCCGCCGCCTGCATCGCCATCAGCAGCCTCCTCCCTGAGTCTGAGGAGACCCGCTTTACCCAAGATCACACTGCTAGCGAGTTCCTGGATGCGATCAGGGCCCTTTACGCCACTCCCACTACTGTCTCTCTTGAATGCTTGTTCCTGCCGTTCCTGTTTCTTGACCTCACCACGTTTGAGCGTTCTGCTAACTTGATCGCTCACCTGCGTTCGCTAGACTCTAGCTACCGCGCTACCTGCACAAAGGCGCAGCTTGCACTCCTCCCCCCCCAATGGCGACTACTATATATTTGATCGTCACTAACCTCCCTGACCGTCTTGCCACAGTTCGTGACGCGCTTCTTCAAGCACCCTAGCGAGATCACTATCGGCGTCCTTGAGTCTGCGCTCGAGGACATCGAGAGCAACCTCCACTCAGTAGCCTCCGCCTCGGGTGTTGTACCCCTCCCACTGTTTCACCGGTGCACTGTTCCACAGCTACCCACCTTTACTGGCTCCCTCACCGCTACCGCCACTGACGAGACTGCGGCTGCTCTCACAACTTCCACGCGGTCTAGGGCTAGGGCAGGAGGGGCAGCAAGGGTGAGACCAGCAGCGGAGGCGGCGGAGGTGGCGTAGTGAGTGGCGGTGGCGGGAGTGCAGGTGTTGGTGGAGCGACCCGTGCAGCTTCTAGTGGCTCACCTGCTGCAGCTGGTGGAGGTGACGCTCAGGCTCGTCGGACGCCTGCGGGACTGCCAGCTACAGGCGCTGGTGTGGCGGCTCAGCGGCAGCAGCAGCAGCAATAGCAGTAGCTACTCCTCTCACAGCAGCCACAGCAGCAGCAGGGGCAGCAGCAGGTTCCGAGGCAGGGGTCAGGACCGCGTCAGCTGTCGCGTGGTGACGCCCACCCACCCTGCCCCTACCTCATCTAGACAGGTACTTGCAGCGGCCTTTGCTGTGACCGCCGCCACCCACCGGGTCAGTGCTTTGCTCAGCTCACTGCCCCTGACTGGCTTCCCCTTGTTCTCTCGCACGGTCCTGCTATGTGGGGCATGTCTGCTTCTCAGTTGCTTGATCTCTTAGGAACTCCTCATGCTATGTATGTTGTTGTTGACTCTAGTGCTTCTGACTCTGTTTACTCGCGTGTTTTTAGCTTAGGTGCTAGTGTTGATCCTGTGCCAGTTGCTAGTGTAGGTACTTGCTTACGTACTCGTCTAGGTGCTACACCGGCGGACGCTTCGTTGTCGTTCACCCTGGGCTCTGTAGCTTCGCATTGTTTCTTCCGCGACCACACGACTCTTACTCCGCTTCCTGCGCCAGTCTCTATAGCGCAGGCTGATCCCACTTCAAGACCAGTCATTGCTCACTAATCTACTACGCTTCCGTCCCCGGCTGTTCCCTTGGGTTCTCTGACGGGCTTCCACGCCCCCTCGTTCTTTAGTATCTTGGTGGGTGTGCGGCCGCTAGTGCGTCAGCATGTTGGTGTTTGGTTTGAGCCTTCTGGGGACTCTGCGACCTGTGTGGACAGTGACACATACGCCCCCCTGGCCACCTTTTGCCAGGAGTGGTGTTCTAGTCTCCACACGCTTCACACTGACACCCGAGAGAGGCAGGAGAAGCAGCAGCGGCAGCAGCAGCAGAAGCAGCAGCAGCAGCTGCCTCCGACCCTAGTCACTGCCCCCCGTCAGGTCCCAGCGTCCCACCAAGTTACTGCGTCCCACCAGGTTGCTGCGTCCCACCAGGTAGCTGCGTCTGGTCAGGTGTTTTGCAGCGTCTGGTTGGTTGATGCTTCTTGCTCGTGTCGGTCGCTTGTCCACCCGACCGTTCTGTGGCACCACCTTCTTGGTCACCCGTCCCTTCCTCGCCTTCGCACTATGTCTAGTCAGCGTCTTGTCCTAGGCCTCCCGCGTGTCTTGCCGTCGCTGCCGCCTTCGCTTGCACCACCTTGCGGCCCTTGTGTCAAGGGTCGGCTGCGCGCCACCCCTCACTCCTCCTCCCTTCGTCCAGCCACCGAGCCCGTTGAGACTCTCCACTTGGACGTCTGGGGCCCCGCCTCTCGCCCTGGCCCTGAGCGAGAAAGTTCTTGCTGGTGGTCGTCGACGACTACTCTCGCTACACCACCATTTCCCCTTTAGCGAAGAAGTCCGACGTGACGTCTGCGCTGATCCGGTGGTTGCTCACCACAGAGGGTACTCGTGGTGGTTGTGTCAGTTGTCTTCACTCCGACCGTGGGGGTGAGTTTCGCTCCGTTGTTCTCGCCGGATTCTGTCACGAGCAGGGCATCCTCCAGTCCTAGACGCTTCCAGAGTCCCCACAGCAGAATGGGAGTGCTAAGCGCCGCATAGGCTTGGTCATGGAGATTGCACGCACCTCCATGATCCACGCCCGTGCGCCCCATTTTCTGTGGCCCTACGCGGTTCGGTACGCCGCTCACCAGCTGAACCTCTAGTTGCGTGTCTCCCGGTCAGGGTTTTCACCGACCAGTCTTTGTCCCCTGGTGTTGTGTCGCGTTTTCATGTCTGGGGTTGCTAAGCGCTTGTTCGCGACACCTCCACGGACAAGCTCTCCCCTCGCGCCCTTCCCTGTGTCTTCCTTGGTTTCCCAGAGGACTCCTCTGACTTCACCTTTTACCACGTGACGTCCGTTTCGACGAGTCAGCCCCCTACTACACCCGGTACCCCTGTTGAGGTCTCCCGGTTCCTCCTTCCCCTCTCTTCCTCACTCCCACTCCCCCTCCTGCTCCTCCGGTACAGCCTCCCCCCCCTGGTCCAGCCCCGTCAGGTGTGTCACACGCAACCCCCCCCTTCCCCCCTCTCGGTATTCCCTCAGGTCCTGTCCCCTTCTCCGCAGTCCTCCTTACTGTCACTGCAGCAGCCGTTAGCACTTCCTCCATAGCCTGCTGCAGACCCTGAGGGTGCTGGTGTTCGTGGCGCGGACCCTGGAGGTGTTGGAGTTGGAGCTGAAAGTGTACCTGTACGAGGTCCTGGTTCTGGGGGTGCTGGAGTTGGAGCTGAGCCCGTGTCTGCAGAAGGTTCTAGTCTTCGGGGAGCTGGTGTTAGTCGAGCTGTCCCTGGGGGTGCTACGACTGGGGGTGCGGGTGCGCCTTTTGCTGGACCTGAAGAGCACGGGACTGGCCGTGTTGCTGCTGGTGGTGCTGTTTCTGGGGGTGGTGCAACTGGTACTTTAGAGGGTGGTCCTAAGGCAACCACCGCTCTGAACAATACTCCTCCCCCACACCCCTACCCGACCCGGCACCAAGCCCTTCTTTGCCGTGCACGTGAGGAGCAGCTGGAGTTGGAGAGAGAGAGGCTAGCGTTGAAGCGGCAGCAGCTGGAGCTACAGCAGCTGGAGGAGCAGCAGCAGCAGCCGCAGCAGCAGCCGCAGCAGCAGCAGCCGCAGCAGCAGCATGTGCAGCAACAGCAGCCGCCGCCTCCGAAACCTGTCTCTGGCCTTCGGGCACTTGGTCTCCCCTCACCTCCTCCTCCCTCCTCCCCCTCTCCTCCTGTCTACGGTCCCACGTTTCCTCCTCCTGACCTTAGCCCGGCTGTTTTCCCCCGTTCTCAGCCTCCGTTGTCCCCTCCTCTTTCTCACACTTGGGCTTCTCGCTCTCCTCGTGCTCGTCCCTCGTCCCGTGTTCCACTCATTGACCTTCGTACTATCCTGTTTCGTTCTAGCTCCCCTCGTCCGTCCCCGTCGGTGCTTCCTTCTCCCCCTGAGTCGGCCCTCACTGCTTCCCTCTCTACTCCTCTCGTCGACTACTACCGCACGTACCGTCCTGTTCTCTCTCGTGTTCTCGCCTCTCTTTTTATGGACCCTCTTACCTCTCTATCCTTTGTCTCCGCCCTTTCTGCCGCAGTCACTGAGTTCGCCACTACTTGCCACTCGTGTCGTG